ATTTTTAATAAAATTGTTAGTATACATAGAATTGCTCTTTCATGCCCAACAACACAAAATCATTGACTTACTCCGTACATCAATCACATTTGAAATACCACCTGATCATGCTCCAGAATCACTAAATAAAGTATTCTAAGAAAAAAAAAAATTCTAAAAAAACCCTATTTTTTGAGAGACACTTTGAAATTATTTTTTCACAAGAATAAAAATAATATTTATGCTTGGTAATGTCATATTTACCGTTCGGTTTAATTTGATTTTAGAAACTTTTAGAGAAATTTAAAATTAATTTGATTAAAAAAAAATTTAAACCAAATAGATCCTACATCTTTGTCAAATTAGATTATATTTTAAAAAAAAATTCAAAAATAATATTTAAAAATTAAACCAAACAGAATTACCATTTCTGAAATGTTCACATGTAAAAGGAGAATTTTGAAAATGACGGTAAACAAAATTAATTCAATGAACATGTTCCATTTTCTTCTAAAATACATTCAAATTGCTTGAAATTATACTCCAATTTTCCCAAAACAGCATTATGATAAATTATTAGGACATTTCTAATTCAAGCTTGCTCATGGTATTTTTTTATGACAAATTGTGTTGCACGTGATTTTTTTTATCAACTATTAATATTGTAATTATACGTGTTTCTTAAATTGATATGTAATAGGTATACAAAGTATAAAGACTTCTATGAGTAAATTGATCTGAATCCAAAATATAGTTAAGTAAGAAATGAATATATACTCGGCTGATGAATATAGATGATAAATGAGAAATTTTATAAATATAAATATTAATTTATAGCTAGATTATTAAGTTCACAATCTTATCTTAAACAATAAACAATAAGCAGATTATTTAAATATATAGTATTACACAAACCTTTTTCTATCAATTTCTCACTTTAATTTTTCATAATCCGTATCTGTAATACAATTGAAGGTATGAAATTACTTGCACAATTACACAATTTTGTTTAATAGTTCATCTTATAATACAAATTCATATTGAACCTACTATTGAATATTATTTACATACTATTAGTGGAGAATGTATTAATATTAATATGTAATATATTTTTATACATCAAAAGTTGTTGAGTCTCGTTTCATGTGCCATGGATATCTTGCATGATAAAAAATATAACATTAGTCATTAATATATTTTTATTTATGTAGAAAATGTGGAATAATTTTTTTAAGAAAATGGAATGATATTGTAATTTAATATTTCAATTGATATAAAAATTTCATAATTATTTGCATGATATTTATAGATCTATATTTATAAGTGTTTGTAAAATCACTTTCATGAAACTGTCAAGTTACATAATTTATTATGTCATCT